AGCTTCAACTCGAAGAAAATTGCTGTCACGAAAAGGCCATACCGAGATATCCAGTCAAGGACCCATTTGGACACTTCAAAAAAAGGCTCGAGTGTTGTAACAACCGGATTCTAGTGAACAATACTACCGAAAACTTTGGTCTGTTGTTCAGAGAGAGAGAGAGCGCTCCAAATTCTAATTCTGTATCTTCGAGTCCTAATCTTTTCAATGCCCTTGTGTGCAACAATATCATTTAGCTATTTCACAGAGCACTGCTTCGTGCACTGTAGTCGAGGGGAATGATATGGTGTTGTGAGGTTTTCTTTCTTAGGCTCTAGTCGCGATACTTTTGGTAAAATTCGTATCTACCGACTTAAGTTTTTGATTTTCTAAAAATGATCCTACACGTCGTGTGTATTCTTCTTCTGTGCCGTACAGGTTTTTATGGTGGAACCCGTTTATTGGTCAACGTTTTGAGAAACCGTCAATTGATCTTATCACTTTCTACTGGATAGTAGCGGCACAGAAGAAGAAAACACACAATATTGAAATGCCCAGGTTTCAAGACGACCGAACATGGAATATAGATCTTACACGTCATTTTTCCCACATGAATTTATGTCTACTACGTGAATTTGCGAGGAATCTGTTTTTTGAGCTTTATTGTCCAGTAGTTTGACGTTCTCCGAACTTCTGATCGCCATTGTATGGCTATATTGGGGTAATGATGCTGGTTAGTTTAACAAGCGTCTATTTTTGCCCATCGCAGACTGTTGCTTGAATCAAAGCCATGTGGATAGAACTGATGGTATTGTAACAGAAGTCCAATATCTCATATTTTTAGCGTCTTCGTTTCATCGCCCGGGGTCGGGGCTCTTGCTTCACATCGCCAACCAAACTGGTGCTATACGTCTCGGAAGAAATCCGGCCGATGAGGTTTTACTGCGTTCGCTCAGAAACTTGGATCGGGTTTGTAATTAGAATCCCTGTATGTTTATAATGCTAATGAGTGTATCTTACAGATTCCGGGCACAGAGTACCACGCTGTTGGAGTACTATATGTGGGTCAAAGGCAGGAGACTGAAGCTCAAATTCTAGCCAACGTGTATGGATCTGAAAGATATGCACGATTCTTGAAGTGAGTGGACTGCCAACGCTTTTCAAATTTTCTTTGAATGGCAGTGATGAATGACGCTAGGCAATGTGGGATCTCTTACACACTCCAAGTGCGAATTGTTCTCCAGGAATCACCACTCTAAGGCGCTCAGACCGAAAATTTCGACTAAATTCTGAAAAACCGGGAATAGCGGGAGGCCGCTTTCTGGGTTGAAGGCAAGCCCCAGGATGAATTGGGTATCTAAGAGCGTTCAGTAATGAAGCTGGAGGTGGGGAGTGGTCTGAAAAAGAAATCCTCGATTACGCCCGCAGTGAGGATATCGCTGATTTCAGACGCATTCCATCTTGAGATAGAGAAGAAGCACTTTGGTTGAGTTCCACGAAACCAACTTCACTTGCTCCGGTGCTAATGCGTCATTGAACCGCAATCAACCGCTACCGGAACTGTGCCCGTGCTTTTCTCTCAGCGTTACTTGACAGTGCCGACGGCCAGGGGCGTGAGCTCTGTGTTAGCGAAGGTGTGGATTGCGGCATCGAGGAGCTCTAACGCCTTTGGCCACACGGATACCACAAATTTAGAGCTGGCAGAAGGGGACGACACCGATCACCTGTAATAAACATATGTACGCATCCATCATGTTTTATTAGTGTGTAATCTTATTACGTGTATGATGCAAATTTTAAGGCGCAGTCTAGATTAGTCTCGTTCACAGCTCTATAACGATCGTGGATGAGAATACGTGGTACTGACAAATTGCGACAGTAGGCCCACATCCAGCGTAACTAAAGTAAAACTGAAGCACATGTCCAAATATTTTGGTTGATACTCAAGAAGACATCATCAGCGGTAATCTTCTGGTAAATAGGTAGCAGGCTTCAGGAGACTACCGCTTATTCTGTCACCTTAAACGAACAGCGCGAGCAAGATTTCTCAGTCCGCTTCTGGAATTCTTTGTCCGGTTTGCTTCGTGACTTGTGGACGGCTTCACCAAAATGGATCATTATCGTGGTAGTGGCACTTCTAGAGAACTG